TGCGCCGCATGCACGGATTCTGGAGCTTTTTCCCCTAGCAGTATCCGTAGGGCCAGGCAGGGAGCCCCCTGGAGGTATACCAGTGCATATATACCCCTGCTGGCCCTCCACCTCCTCAGTTCTTTCTTACTACCCCCACGGTAGCTGGAGCATGTGTTAAGGCTCTCGGCTTTTCGCTTATCTAATCTTGTATTATAGTTAAAATCTGTTGTTAAATAGTTGTTAATTAGTGGTTAGGTAGTGTAAATAGTAGTAGAAATGTAGCCGTGTTAGTCTGGGGTAGCTGAAACAAAATGCAGGACTATGTAGCACTTTAAAGACTAACAAGATGGTTTATTAGATGATGAGCTTTCGTGGGCCAGACCCACTTCCTCAGATCAAGTAGTGGAAGAAAATAGTTACAACCATATATACCAAAGGATACAATTAAAACAATGAACACATCTTAATGGATTGTTCACTTTCAGTCCTTTGGGTACATAGTCCTGCATTTTGCTTCAGCTACACCAGACTAACACGGCTGCATTTCTACTACTATTCTACATGCAAGGCACTACATTTAGCCGTTTGGAATGGAAATCCATCAACCATATGAAGAAACTTGCACAGAGACAGACAGACATCATCTTTCTATCCAAGTGCAAGAAGATGGACATCGTACCCAAAGGACTGAAAGTGAACAATCCATTAAGATGTGTTCATTTTTTTAATTGTATCCTTTGGTATATATGGTTGTAACTATTTTCTTCCACTACTTGATCTGAGGAAGTGGGTCTGGCCCACGAAAGCTCATCATCTAATAAACCATCTTGTTAGTCTTTAAAGTGCTACATTGTCCTGCATTTTGCTTCAGTAGTGTAAATAGTGTAATTAGTCCAGGAGAAGAGCTCAGCGGGACTCTCTCAATCAGGGGAGGGAATGCCAGGGGGCCAGGGCTTTAAGCCGTGTGAGTCTTGCTCTAAATCTATGCCCTGTGGCAAGCCGCACTCTTCTTGTTTGAAGTCGAGCGGAGGATTGCTCGATCTGCAAAGGCTTCAAACCAAGAACTAAGAGAGAAAGGGACTCTCGGCTAAAACTTTTGTTGATGGAGTCAGCGCTGCCGCCTCAGAGTAAGGAGCGTCCCCACTACATCCGCAGCACCGGTCAGACATCACGTGGCCCCGTCGAAAGCACCTCCACACAGGTCGCACTCACTGGCACAGAGGAGCTCCAAAGTCTCCAGAGAGCGATCGATGGAGAGGTGTGGCCACAAAGCGCACCTTAAGGAAGGGCACTCGTCCTCAAAGGCTCCTGGGAGGAGGCGCAGCCCAGACCATACTCAGAGCCCAGGTCAACTAATTAAGACTCAGAACATGCCTATGAAATCAGACAGTGTTACAGACTGGTACAGAAAGGTTCATGAATTTGCCCAAGATCAGTAGCAGAATCAGAAAGAGAAACCAGGAGTCCAAGCTTTTAGTCACCCTGGTCTAACCTTACCAATACCAGAACCATGGAAAATAGAGATAGGACAGGCATCTAGAAGTACGGGGCAAGTCCATCCCCCAGTGAACGCAGCGTAATTCTCTACTGCTGTGTCGCTTGCCTCCAGAAACAGACCGTCTTCATTCTCCGCTTGGGAGACAATTCCAAGAAAAGTGTATACAAGTGCTAGAAGGGCTAAAACACTACGGAGCGAGTGAAATGGTGCTGAGCTATCACCAATGGCATGACACGCACAAAAGCTGTACATCAGGGAGAGAGAGAGAGAAATAATCTCCCAAAAAGAGTTTGGGGGAGGGGAAGTGGGGAAACCCCTATCACATTATCTAAAGTTGCAAAATGTTGCTTCCCATTTCTGTGTCTCCTTTGCAATGTGACCAGCTAGCCAGACAATTTATTGACAGTTGGGCTGCAGGCGTATTGATATTTCATGTTAAAAGGATAAATAGATCTCAACAGCCCAGGCATAAAATATAATTGGACAGCTCAGATAAGCCGCATGTGTATGCGAGCCACATGAAACTCGCCCATTTCTGGGGATCAGGAAAAACTCGGGACAGAAACCAGATCTTGAGCCACTTTTAGGACCAAACCCCATGGGAAGTGCATTCTGGTTCCATATGAGAGAAACCCATATGAAAAATACTAGATCAGAACACACCAGATGTCTACGGTGTTAAAACTCTTCGCCCTGATCTGAATTTTCCAGATGGTTCCTATTTCTAATGGGGTCAAACAAATACAAGAGCTCAGATGGAAGTTATCATCCAGGGTTTGGGTCTGGAGTGCTCTGCAATCCGTGCAGTGATAAATGTCCTCATTCAAATAGAGAAGGGTCAATGGAAAATAGTTTCCACACATCACGGTGGGACCTGACGTACAGCTATTGCAAGCAGCTGGTGGATGCCTCCAAAGCCCTGCGTCACACAGCAGTTCGTTGACAGCGCAGCTGAGAGGTTACTCTCGGTGTGGTTTGTCAAAAGCCCTACTTCTGCCAGGACATCGATACGACTGGACCAACATCTTAACTTAGAATTCAGGCATCTGGACTTCATGACTGCTTGTTTAATTCCCGATCCTTTGAGTACTCTGTGACCTGCATCATCATCGAACTCTGCAAGCACTGAGGGTGCTCAGCTCCTTACAGCATCAGACTTCAGGGCTAGAAGGGATTTCCAACAACATCTAAATCGGGGTGGCCAACCCATTAAACGAAGAGAACTGAAACAGCAGTGGAAAAAATGCGAAGAGCCACACCAGAATTGTTGAACAAAAAAAAAAAGGACGCTGCCCCTTTAAAAACTGTGGGTTGGCCACATCAGGCTCCTGCCGGCCGCCACCATCTTGCCACCGCCATTTTGCCATGCCAAAAGGCTACCCTGCACCCTGTGAGCACAGGGAGCTGGGGGCCATTTGAAGGGATGCATGGGGCGGCTTCACGAGCTGTGGGGGAGGCTTCGTGAGCCATACTTTTAGGGGTAAAGAGCCGCACGCGGCTCGCGAGCCATGGGTTGGCTGCCCCTGATCTAAGTGATGTAAAAACAGAAGCCTTGGGTCTGGTCTACAGTAGGACCTTAGTCTGAAATAACATCCCCCCCGCCTCCCGAGGTCAAATTTGTAAGCGGTACGTCCACACAACCTCGCCCATTATTCCAGAATAAGGGCCACAGAATTCAAACTCTGTAGTCCTGCTTTTCATGAGGAATAACGCTATTCCCGAACTTGTATGTCCGAAATAACATTAGCTAATTTGAACTAGTTGGCCTCTGGGAGGCCTCCGCAGCTCCCCGGAGGGCTTCCTGGAGCTCTGAGTCTGAGGTAGCGCGTCCACACTAACGGAGCCTGCCTCAGACTACGTTTGATACTTCCTCATAGTGATGACATGGAACTTCGAATCTGTAACATTGGGTGCCCAGAAGTCAAACTTAGTAAATGCCAAATAATCTCCTAACGTAGACATGGTCTTCCAGAAAAGGCCGGATCCTGCAGACATTTCGGGGATGCGTACAATGCAACAAGAAACCTGCAGGGCTGATTCTCAGAGCTGGGTCAGCTGATACAGCTTTGAGGGCTAAAAATAGCAGTGGAGATATTCAGGCTCAGAATGGAGACGGGGCGCTGAGACCCCCCCAAGAGATCTATCCTGAATCAGGTGACAAAGGCCGGCTAAAGCCTTGCTGCGTGTTTTTTACGGCTGTGTCGCCATGCCATGAGGCATGAGTTTAACCGGAAGCATTCAGTGAGACCGCGCACATACGTAATCCTTGGCCGGTTCAAGAACAGTGTACCTGCAGCCCTGATTTTTCAGAGGTTCTGAGTCCTTGCAGTGCCCTAGACTCCGGTGGAGTTGACAATCAAGCTCTTAATGTAGATACACTATTCCAAATGATAAAGACGTGATGTATTTCAATGAAACCTCAAGTACCGTGAAATTTGAGGGCTGTGTTTCACAAAATATATTCAGTTTTGCACAAAAAGACCCCATCCACTTTCAAAATGTCTTTTTATTTATTATTTGGATTCCTTAGAGCCTCGGTGTTGTACAATGAATTGAACTTACGTGGCAAATTTGCCATCTAAATAGACACAAATGGTACCGGGGAGTGTGGGGCGGTGGGGCGGTTTGCAAGACACAAGCAGCGTGAACTATGTGATGCCAGCAAATGTCATGTTAGTTCCAGAGTTTCTTTTGGAAGGCCATTTTGCAGTGAGAATAGAGCCCATTTGGAGCAAAAAATGGCTTGATTCTCAGGTGATGCCGTCATCATCTTTAGTGAAATGACATTTTGGAAAGTCAAAGATCGATTGTTTGCATCCAAATGCAGAAGCTTTCAGAGTTCACTGTTCTTGCTGGGGTGGGGGGAAGGGGAGGACTTAGGATGCATGCTCTTGTTCTGTGAAAATGTCACTAAAAAAAGAAAAAATTGGGAGATTACAAAATGGCATGGAAGGCAATTTTCCTTTTTTCTTTATTTTTACAAAAGGAACTCTCATTATTTAAAAGCCCATAAGCCTGTGGTGGGTAAGACTGCTGTAATGGGGATTCTCATGTGTAGATTTTATTGGACAATACAACTTTGCTCCATTTCTTAAGAACTGACAGCATATTTGACCCTGCACCAAACACAAAACGAGGGCAGTTCCTGTCCAAAAAGGGGTGCTGAAATCTTAGCAAGACTGATGCATGCAACACAGAAAGCCCTGGGCAGCACAAAAGGGGGGACCAGGTTACAGACTGATATTTTTTATGTTCTTGCTGGGGGTGTTTTCCTCCATTCGTTACTATGACTGTATAAAGCTAGGTCTTTGCTTGTTCACATGTCACCATTCTCCTCCGAGATCTATTTGTGTCCTGTGAGGCCATGATGCTCTGCTCTAAAAGTCAATCAACATTGCCCCAAACTCATTTGAACTAGGAAGCAGCAGCGCCTCTGAAATTAGGAGTCAATACCCTGCTTTTGCATCAGTAGGCGTCTGTCAGGAGAAGCGAGGCTGGCTCGCCCTACTGCACTCAGGACTTTCCTTCACCGTAGAACTTCTGCCGATCGGCTACTGTGCATTCTGCTCTGGACGTTTCTGGGGATTAGAAGGTAAGGTTCCTGATGAAAACCAGAGCTCTCTGGTGGGACATGGTGGGTCTGAACAGTGCAGGTTAGGATCATCTGTGCAATAAGGTATGGTTTAGGGTAAAACTCTGCTGCAATCAGAGGTGTGACTGAAGCATGGTTAGACGCCTGATCCAGCTAGCCCAAATAATGATGAGAGTGAAGCTATAATGGCACAGGCTAGCTGCTTGAGTAAATACCCAGGCTATGACTACACTACCAGGTTTTTTCAAACAAAGTTATTTCAAAATAACAACTCCCAAAATAACTTTTGAAATAGCTCTTCCACGCTACAGGGAAGCTTCAAAATGAGCCCGAGGCCGGCTCCCTTAATGTGGACTCGCGACCTTGACTTAGAGCCCCAGGAAGCATTAGTGTGAAATTACTTTCAATGACTTCAGGGAGTAGATATTTTGAAATAACAGTTGCTGAGCATCCACACTAACCCTATTTCTAAGCAGCAGTTGCGAAATAGGCATTCTTCCTCGTAGAATGAGGGGTTATTTTTCGAAATAATTCTGAAAGAACGGGCTTGCTGTGTGGATGCTTGTTATTTTGAAATCACTCTGTAGTGTAGACAGGCTCTGCTGTGACAGCTTCACTGCTATTGTTGTACCCTTAGTTGTATCGCTTTGGTATGTAATGCAGAATGACAACTCCTCTAAGAAAGAAATGATGGGAGGTTCCCTCGTATCCTCAATAGATTCTATCACATGCTTGTTGCACTTTTTGAAGGAATGTTCTTCTTGTGGGGTCTGAGAGATTTGAGATGCTGCGTATTTTAATGTGAAGAGACTCTCTTTGTACTGCTAGTGTGCCTGTTACACTGTCTGTATATTCTACTTGTACATAAACACTGGGGAGAGGGGAAATCTTATGTATATTTCTACTATAAAAATAGAAATTCTAGGAGCACCAGTCTCATATTGTGGAAATCTCTCCAAATGTAAAAATGTGATAATCAACACTTACTATTGGACCATTTTATCTCCTGTAGGCTGGAAGGACAGAGAGCGTTCTGTCTATTTTGCCATGTGTAGCAGGCACTCCAGTTTTCTACCCTTACAGCACTGCACCAACACGCACTCAGCAAAGATGCTACTTACACCAGTGAGAGAGCTTTTCCAGTTGGCATAGGTGCTTCTCCTTACCAAGAGGTCATAGCTATGTCACTGGAGAATCCCTTCCATCTATGTAGCACTGTCTACACTGGGGGATAGGTTGGTATAAGCCATTTGGATTTTCCACACCCCTGGGTGCAGGAGCGGCCCAAGACACGCAGCCGGCTACGGGCGCCCTAGGCGAGACGCGCGATCAGCATGCGATCGGTGTCCCCGCCTCCAAAGCCCTCAACGGCCGTTTTTCTTGGCACCCTAGGCGACCGCCGAGGTCGCCTGTACTGACAGGCCACCACTGCCTGGGTGACACAGTCATACTGATGTAAGTTTGTTGTGTAGAGACCAGGGTTCCGATACTACTGTGATGAGACCGTATAAGCAGATAGAACGAGTAAAACAGACCAAGACTAAAAACATATGACGTTCTGCAGACATCTGAAGCGAACAAAAATATCCAAATGCCTGTGGATCTTGCTACGTAGAAACATTCCAAATGTGATCGTGATGAGGGATAGAGAATGTTAGTCTTTATATCTGAGAAGTTGTTTCCCTTGTGACATGCTCCCTTTTCATTTGGTCACAACATTTACCAGAATGTCTTTGTGGCCAGTCAGTGTTGTTGTGCAGGTGTTTAATTATGGATCTCTCTAAAGTATACTTGTAGGCATGGGCTGTGTCTCCCCTACAGTGCCTGCGGCAACAGAGCTATGTTGGCATAGGCCCTTAGTATAGATGCGGGATCTATCAACAGAAGGTTTACATAAGAGCAAAGGAATGGCCAGACTAGGTCAGACCAAAGGTCCATCTCGCCTGTTGTCCTACTTTCTGACCATGGCCAATGCCAGGTGCCCCCAGGGCATGAACAGAACGGAGAGTCATCAAGTAATCCCTCCTCTGTCACCCATTCACCATTCCTATCCATCCAGACTAATAGCCATTGATGGATTTGTCCTCCATGAATTTCTCCAGTTCTTTTTTGGACCCTCTTATAGTCTTGGACTTCACAACATCCTCTGGCAAGGAGTTCCACAGGTTATTAATCTGTCCTCGTATGGCAACCGTTCCATACCCTTAATAATTTTTGTTGTCCTTTTCTGAATTAATTCCCATGCCAAGATGTCTTTTTTGAGATGAAGTGGCCATATCAGCACACAGATGTGGGGATACCATGGATTTATATAGAGGCATTAAAATATCTTATTCTCTCTGCCTTTCTTCTTAATGATTCCTAATATTCTGTTTGCTTTCTGACTGCTGCTGCACATTGAGTGGATGTGTTTCAGTCAATACAGGAACACCACCTCGTGGACAACATTAGCTATGCCAACAGAAACACTTTTCTGATGGCATAGCTGCCTCTACACTAGGCAGTTTGTTGCCATAGCTGTGTCACTAGGGGATGTAGGGTTTTTTTCACAACCCCAACTGATATGGGTGTGTCAGTGTAAGCGTAGTCTGGAAAAGGCCATAGAAACAACTTTGATCATATGCATCTGTTAGTGTATGTCTAACAGGGTACTGTGGAGCACTGTGGTACTGTGGAGCTATTTCTAGGATACTGTGGAGCTATTTCAGGATACCTGAAGTATCCTGAAAAAGCTATTCTGCATCTATTGAAGCAGCCCGTTACTTTGAAATAGATTTCAAAATAACGGGCGGCTTATTCCAAAATCCTGGTAACCCTCGTTCCACAAGGGTTTAAAGGGCATTTCGGAACAGCGAGTTATTTCAAAATTTGGCACTGTGTAGATAGCACCAAGTTACAAAATAAGCTATTTTGAAATACACTCGAAATAAGCTACACAATTCGCATAGTGCAAATTGTATAGCTTATTTCGAGCTAAAGGTGCTGTGGAGATACACCCTTAGTGAATAAAAAGGAAGGGGATGGGAATGATTGCGCTTACCATCAGGAATAGGTGGTGTGGGAGGTTCAGGAGTCAGGGCAAGGCCTTGGGATGAGGAGCGGGGGGGGCAGGGCAGGAACCTGGGGGAGTGGGGGGT